AAAGGTTTTGAAAAAAGTTTGACCATCTGTAATCTGTTTATCATTTTAGTTTCTGAATTTTATGTACATGTTTTATGCTTGCGTTTTACATGGTCCTCCTGAAGACAGGCTTCAGGGAATAAAATTTCGGTTTAATTATAAGAGATTTACCAGTGTCTTCAGTCGGCCTGCTTAGTTGGTCCACCCACGTTCAAAAGCTTTAGATAAAATTTCTAAAACGAAAAATACTTTCTGCAAAATTTGTATAGCAAATTTGTATAAAATTTATTTTAAAATAGCGTGCAGAAAACTTTCCCTTGGTTACCTCTTTAGATTAGAAAAAGAACCATTTCTCAATCGAACAGTTTCCCTGACAAAGAATGAAATCTCTTCTGTAAAACGAAAATAGTGAATTCTTTTGTGGAGATAAAACATAATCTGTAACATGAACATAGAGCTTGCTTTGAAAGAATATAATGCCGGGTTGTTTGAGTGGAAGAATTTCTCAATAACGAGCTGCTTTCAGATAGTCAGACCATCAATAATGTTGTATTGTGAAAAGATGACATCGTTAAAATAAACGATTGTTGAAAATTGACCTCACGAGATAACATAAATGGTATGTAGTTTGATTGCGACAGCGCACATCTTCGCACTCTGTAAGAAACGCTTCAAAGATTAAGACAATTTTAATATAAAAGTATGCTACTTCCTACATTCTTCTGCCTGGGAATGCCTGATAACATATTTTTATTTTAGATCCATCTTAATGGAAAATTTATAAACCCGGAACACGATATCCAAAACGAACAGTTGCCGTTTCTGTGGATTAAAACATAAGATCTGTGGCCAGACTAATCTCAGTAGAAATACATTGTAAATAATTGTGATAATAAACTATAATATAAAATAATAGATTATATAGATTATAATGTAATAGTGTGTGTAAGCTATAATAGCGATAAGTACAGCTATTAAATCGGTTTATTTTTTTTTATATGACTTTCTAAAAAAACATTACCTTACTGGATGTACTATTATTTCGAGGGTCATTTATACACGTCCTTCACTGCAAGAAACAAAATGTCTCCATCGCGTTACACACATGACCGATTATCTTGAGGACATAGGAATTCAATGGAGAGTGACCTTCGTATTCTCCATTATTAAATCAGAGAGAACAGCGTGGGAGACTTCAGTATGACGATTTGTATCATAGTAGCCGCCAGCTAGCACTCTCAGAGAACTTCAAAGCCCATATCTAATACGCAAAATGGAAATCCTTGGAGAGCTTCCTTATCGGTAATGGGTGACCGATATGGAAATGTTTTCTCTTTATCTCTCAACCGTTGTAATACCAACTTTTCCCAAGCAATTCTATATCACAATTCTTATGTTCTCATTTAAATATTTTTTTATTTTCGATTCTGCATCTTAAAGATATGTTATACTTGATAAAATGAAGATACTATTATACAAACTGAATGAAGGCTCTACATTTTTCTAAAAGCAAACATTTCCGTCTAATATAAATTATGTCCACTTTAACTGCTAATGTGTTAACTGCACAAGTGGTTGAAACAGCGGTTGAGCAGTTACTTGAAACGGCATCTGTTCCTTGTATAAGGTACCTGGCCCTTTATAACTGCATTAAATCATTCCATAATAATAATAAAAAAGTTAATTATCTAAAAAGTATTGAATGAAAGTCCAAAAGGAAAAATTTTATTGAGGTAAAAATATACTCCTGTATTTCTGTACCAGTATTCATTGCGACATAATTTATACTTTATATTCAATAACTCATTACATAACATTCATTCATCATAATTTCAAATGATTTTTTCTGTGCATTTCATTTTTAATTACATCACCCATTATCAATTTTATTACATTTAATCTTTTATAAATCATTAATATTTTATACTCAATGTAACAGTATTCAATATTTTCTTCTTAATATTTTCTAAAATTAAAATATGTTTTGTATGCTCTTCCGTACTAATACTCAAAATTATTTTATTTTTTTTCGCATTTATCTCATTCCCGAAATAGTTGAAAATTTTAACAATAATCCCAAATTGTAAATATTAGTGTAGTAAATTTTAATAACGTTCTTTATCCGGAAGTTTTAATTTTTTAAAATTCGTTGCTGAATTTATTCAACATAATTATTGAAAATTAAATTTCTTTAAACCATAAAATTTTTAATTTATATCATTTCATAGAAATGTTGGATTTAAAAGAGTACCTACAGCATACTTTAATAGCAAAATAACAACATTATACGTGCTCACAAACTTTATAAATGTAAAACCATTCAAATTATTATGTTTTCATTTTTTGAAGAATAACTTATATGTTTTTCCTCAAAATATCAAAAGTCAAATTGTATAAATTTTAACAAAAGCACTTCATGTAAAATACATGGTATGTTTTCATGTGAAAGAAATATCATGTAATTCAAACTGGATAGGAAAAAATATTATTTTCCTTCACGATAAACATGTCATACACTAATCCACAGGATAATAAATATAATTAAATTCATTTGAAGATAAATTTAATTTTGATTTTTAGTTTAGAAGCAGACAGTGCATTTATTACACATAAATCACAGATTGAAAAGCGCAAGCAGGAGCACAAGCATTTGAAGGAACGTTCATGTAAACCTCGACATAATTGACTGTCGAGGACAGAATGGTGAATATTTTAAACTTACACCAAATCTCTAACTACATCATTATAAACACTCTGACTTACTTTTGAAGCACTGCGACACCGCAGGAGAACGATTCATTTCAAGATTATCTCCCACCACTACCATTTCTTAATATTACGTAGCAAATACAGGTTAGATATTACGAAAACCTCGATAGCACATCTTACATTTGAGTAAACACTATTTACGATTAAACTTCGAAATGCAGGTGATTAACAAAAAGATAATTAAATCTCTAAATACAGCTCAAATTAGCATCATGTCCAATAAAAAAGCAATGATTTGGATGTTGAAATATTTAAAAGCTCCTGGCAGGGTGATGCAGCGCAGTAAGTGCTTTGATCTTAAAGGTTTTATATTTTTTATGAAACCAGTAGCAGGAACAGATCTAAGCAAAAATAGAATGCGTCTAAAACAAAATCTTGGTTCGAAATTGATTCGAAACTGGGTACGAAATATTTTGTTTATGTTTTAATTTTCATTTTATTTTGTTTAATTTTCAGTTTCGCTCGATGTTTGTTTATTAGTTATACATACGAGTATATATGTTGCCCTGTTTTATTTTATATGTATATATAAATTAAGAGAATTTGCGCATTATGTCACATTTCTGAAAACTAAGAAATTTTAATGAAATTTGGTATGAAATTATAATTATACAGAAAAAGAGATATACCATTCAAAATGTACCATTTATGTCATTTTAGGTGCGCATGATTATTAGTAAATCTCATAGTGCAGACATGTCCAAACACATTGTGATATCGAAATAAAAACGAGTCTTATATGGAAAATGATCCTCTATCACACTTAAACAGGTCGCGCAGCGTGACGGCATACTGAACTGGAGGCAGTAGAGATGATACACTATGGGAATGGATCCCACTCCTCCAGGAAGGCAATTTTCAACTCCGAGATGGTTTTCGGAGAGGGATGGGGAGATGATGTTCCCTTCCTAAGAGCGCCCCAGACATGCTCAGGTGATCTGGCTCGCTAATAATATCCTCACTTCCCAGGGGATAGTCAATTAGCTGAGCCTTATGTGGACGAGCGCTGTCTTTCACTAATAGAATCCGAGCACCAGCTGTTCCCCTGAAAATCTGTACATGACACTGTACGTTCGCGCTTCTACACCTCATAGCAATCAAGGAGCATAAACATGCTCTCTTGTGTACTGCAATTAGCGGAACGCAAACAGTGGGTCTTCTGGCACACAGCCCTATCTTAGAAAGCCTTGGAGCAACTGTAAACCATGAAACTCGGGTTCGTGTAGTAGCATACAACTCAAGAGAAAGCTTTGAAGCTGTAACATTCATGTGTCGGCTTGTTGAAAGTGTGAAATAACGATTCTCCTTCGTCGTTGTAGATCTTGGTCGAGTTCTTCTCGATATGGTGTCAATATCCCAAAACGGTGTTTACAAATTCATGATGACATTGAGTGTTATTGTGAGATTAATAGCCAACTGCCCTTGCGATTGTCCTGCAGCCAATCTTCCGAAAATTGTTCATCTCATTTCGAGTCCATACGTTCGTGGCTATTCATTTTACCTGACAAATTACCTTACAGACATCTTATTTGCCTGACATCTTAAATTATACTTAACTCTTGCGAGAAACACAGCGAGGGTCGTGAAGGCGTATGACAGCACAAATCGCCTAAAGCTCTCTGTGCAATTATACCCCCTCCAAAAATATACCTCCGCAGTTTTGGGTCACAGTCGAGAATATTTGCATTATTCTTCGGCGATATAATTAGTAACTTTCATTCGATACGTTTCGTAAAAATATATATAATTTGCAAATTCTCTTATTTTTTCCACTAGAGAGTGTATGTGCACTTTAACATGTTTATCAAAATATCTGCTTCTGTTGTTTTTTTTTTTTTTAATATCTGCTTCTATTTTACCACCAGACGTAAAACTGGTGAATTTTAGTAGTCCGATCCGGGTTCGTAACTCGAAATCAGACTGACTTCATGGGAATTTTCGTGATTTCCCCCTGTGTTATGTGTAAATGAGCTAATTTCGCTTTAAAGAAACCTCCACGAAGTTATCGTTCCCCACAGACAAATTTTACTTAAGCTGCTTTGCCTTTATTCAGCTAACCTAATCAGCTTATCCAAGTAGCCACTTTGTTCCACACGTGAGTTGAACTGTCATTGCGGACTTTGGTTAACTGATTTGTCAACAACAACATTTGTCGTTTACACAGTTTGAATGTTTCAATTTACTTTTATAAATGGCTTTCATGTGCATTTCTCTATAATTTCCTAAAATAACCTCTACTTCTTTAATCATAGTGTTGCCATTAGAAGTCAACATCCTTGGACCTAATTTGCCAATGATGGCTGGCGAGGAACAGGAGATCGTATGCGAAACCAAAGGTTCCAGACCCAATGCGTTAACAACTTGGTGGTTGGATGGGCAGAAGATTAACATTAGTCCACCCGAGGAAGATGAAGAAGAAGAAAGCAATGTTACAATCAGCATCTTGAAATTTCGACCGAGTCCTGACGATAATGGAAAGTTGCTAGTGTGCAAATCAGCAAATCCAGCACTGCCCAAGTCTACCATCCAAACAGAAGTTAAGCTTCAAGTCGAATGTAAGTAGTTTATAATTTTTGGCTGTTGTTGCTGCTAAGAAAAATGGGTCATCAGTTATATTAAAATTAATTTATTTTTAAACTGACGCTGTGAAATTTGCGTTCTTTTGCACCAAATAAAAGTAAGAATAGTTTCAGAATCTTTAAATACTATTAATTTATTTTAATAACACATGTGCAACGTTTCAATAACACAAGGCTTATTTTAATATAAAACATAATGCTAACATATGATGTCTTCTTTTGTAAATATTTCCTCTTAAAATTAGCGTAAACGCACCAGCGTTAATGACGTGGAGACATTTTGTAAACCAGTTGGATAGACGTATACTTATTTTTTCCTACTATGAGTACAAATTCATGCATATCATTCACAAGAAATAATGAAATTACTAAGAAAATGAAATTTATTATCTTCTCGTTAAGATATAAATGTTTTATTTATTAAAATTGTAGACTTCTTTTTATTGCAAAATAAAATGTTTAAGTAAACATTGGCACAAAATATTTTAGAATTTCGCTTTGAAGCAAAAGTAATAAAATCTGGTGTACTTTTTATAAATTTAATGATAAATATTTAATTAATAATTTATCGTATAATTATTTATCAATAATTATACGATAAATAATAGCTATTTTAATGGAATAATTATTTCTTCTTCAGTTTAGAAAATTATATCATAAGGATTTCAAATAATTGCTACGAAAATCTAGTCTCACATAAAATTCTTATTCAGCCATTTGAAAGAACTGCAGCTTAACACTTGCTGACAAATTGCAAGTACAGTCGCATTCTACCCCTAACAGCAGAGCACACTATTTCTCTTTCTAGTAATCAATCCTACACTCATATGGAAATACGTTGGTTTTGTTGTACTGTTTTTATGAGTTTTATTATTTATGTCTTTCGTTTTGCAGTCTGAGTGATGAACTGAGTGATGAACCTCTATCCATATATTGCTTCCGAAGATCCACATCAGTGCATTTTTTATTAACAACCAGTTTACCAGGGGCACATTTAACCGCAGTAACTTGAGAACTTAGGCAGTCACACCATAAACTCATTTAACGAACCGCATTAACTTGAGATCTTAGACAGTCACACCATAAAACTTCTGCAAGCTTAGAAAAAAATCTTTGACTCTATTTATTTTGCCTCCACCTTTTACTAATAGGCAAGATTTCTAACAATCTGCTTCATTTTTACTTTAAATATTGTATACCTACTACAATTTTATATATTATATCCCTTTAATCCCAAGAGATCTGGACCTATTAGAAATGTTATACTCTCATGTAAAGTGCCATTCATTCCGTCAAACCAGTCCAAAACCCAAAAATTTTCTCTTTGGCAAAAAAAATTCAGAATCCGTACAAACTATTCCTCTTTGTTTTACAATGCGCAAATGTCACTGTGGTAACACGTCATTGCTAGGAGGCACTGAAAGGTCCTTGGCAAAAGGCCAACATGGCCAACATGGCAATCTAGAAGAAAACACATCTACCTTCTAGTTTGCCATGGGCACTTAGAAGGTAGATGTGTCTTCTGTTTGCTACAACAATCTACAGGGTATTATTATTTACAGGGTACAGCTTAGTCTTTTAATATACTATTACAGATAAGGATTCACTGATATCAGATCTGGACATCATAAGAGACGCAGTTATTTCTTCCTCAGCAATAAATTCTTTGTCTTTCATATCATTCATTGTCATGGAAACTCTTCAATGAATTCTTTTGAAGCTGAACTTAACAGCTGCTGAACTACGAGAGATTCTTAAATAATGATGTTTTCTATTAATAGATAACACTCAGCTCCAAACTCAAATATTAACTCGAAATTGAACGAACAGTAAAACTGGAAACCCTAACGATATTTACAGCTTCAAGATAAGAAGGGATACTTTACGGCATTAAAAATTAATTCATTAAAAATAGAGAAATTTGTAAGAACCCATTTAATTATTCGAAATGATACTTCTAACAATGATTCAATTCTAGTTGAAATTGACAGAATTCTGCCAGTAGGAGTTCTTGACATCAGACATAAACAAACCGATGAGTAGTCAAAAAAAGGAATGCATGAATCAATATCCGAAACGTAGCTTCTCGCAAACACGGTCTTCCGTTTCAATGTTATTTGAATGCTTCGATAGTAGTAAAACAAAATTTAATTTTGGCAGTTTCAGAACAACGTCTTTCAGTATGAATGATGTCTTAGTCTTAGAGGAATTAATCATGACTCTTCGCCATTGGGCAGCTGCCAAATCATGTAATCCATAATGATTCTTAAAAAAGAAAAAGGAAAGCTCAACTGAATATTATCGAAAGAGAATGTTGCTCATTGTCCTCGGTTATCTGTCTTGTCGTCACTGCATCGTTATTTGGGAGATGAAATAAAAAAGTTACTTAGCTTTGCACTTTGACGCACAATTACGAATGCTGTCCAGTAAACCGAAAAATACCAACAATGGCTTAGGTATGATGAAATGTATAAAACAAATTGCAAAATTATAAGTAAATATCCATACCATGGATTCACATGCTTCGAATAATAAACACAAACAAACGAATACTAAATTTTAAACCGTTATTTATTTAAGCAAATGGCAATATTAAGTTTAAATTTAAGCAACATTAAGTTTAAAATAATCAGGAACAAAAATGAAATTTATACAAATTAATTTAGTAGTTTTAAAAAACTACTTATACGGATAAAATTCACAAACACATAAGCATTTACAGTATTCCAGTAATTAGTTTGCACAACAATTAATGCTACATAGATTTGAACAGGAAACCAACATACCATTATCAAGAACATCTTCAAGAAAAAGTTACATTATCAAGAAAGAGACGTATTTAATATTTATAGTGGTTAATAAAATTGGCATAAAGTGAAACATCTCTTAAATTTCTGTAATTGTTTACAGAAGAATACAGCTTATATTAAGCGATGGCGAGATCATTTTGATTGATTCACTTTAAAATTCCTAGTGATTGTTTAGCTGGGGTTATCAAAAAGTAATATTTAACTAAACGAATACAGCATAGTTCGCAATAAAGCCCCCGAAAGCTCTGTCAAACGATTATATATTAAAATGAATATAGAATTAAAAGCGTAATTAAAATGCAAGCTTGAATCTATGTCTACATTGAACCTCAAACTTTCTCTTCTTTAGGCTAACAGCGATAACATCGAAATTGAAACTAGATAATTAAAACAACTGATATGGATACATATTAAGAGCCCGAAATAGATTCTTAATTTAGAGATTATTTCATGTGGTTGTGGCAAAAATGTAGGAAACATACGTGGTGCTTTTATCATGAGCATTTAATTAACGCAAGTTAAAAATAATTTCATTTAATATGTTTATTAAATTAATACATTAAAGCTCTCTCTATATATCTTTCACGATGTCTTTCAGACATAGTTAAAAAATGTGACACTTGTATTTTATTTGTATAGTTGATATTATACAAATTTTATTTTATCATTCTGCGTTTAGTTTGTCGAAATATATTGAAAACTAAACCTATTTCATTTTTCATATGAGAAGAATTCGCAGCTTAAATAATATTGAATATAAAAAATGAGAATAGTCAAACCACTATTAAAGTTAAAAAAGGCCTTTTCCAGTAGAATTTTAATATAGACGCATATTTTAAATTATTTAAATTTATTCTGAGAAAATTTTCAAGATCGTCTGATGTGCTGCAATAGCAGAAAACTGCAAAGTATTGTAATAGTAAAAAAAGTTCAAAAAATTTTAATTTGCCATCTAATTAAAAGAAAAGTAATTTGCGAAGACTTCTCTGTTACCGCCACTAACCAAATGTTTTTGAAAATATTGCATTTACCCGAGTTATAGCGAATCGTGTGAATTAATTGGTAGCCAATAACATTATTAATGTTGAATGAATCCTCAGATTACTCAAATTAGTTAAATAGCTGTGTTGCATTACAGTTATATTAAATTCAACTTTGTTTGAGAATGTAGTTTTGTTTTACATTCTTTTTGATTCTTTTAGAGTTGTTAATTAAAAGAAAATTATTCGAAAAATTATCAATATTCTATTATCCAATAATACAATTTCTTGGACAATCAAATACATGTCTGATGATTATTTAATTGAGTGTAATTGAGAACAAAAAACGGTCTATTTTTAATTATATATGTTGATAAAAGCATCAATGCATTGGACCTTTTGAGATCGAATCTTAATTTTTATTTTAAATTTAGTGTGTACGAAGTTATATATTAATTTACTTTAAAATAATTATAGGTTAAGGATTTTATTCTGATACAATATTATTTCAAAAATACTTAGATATTTAGTATAACAGGGATATATCTTAACAACTCTAAATAAAACATTCATTTTTTAATTTCCGGTTTAGAAAACCTGATAATCAGATTAATTACCATACATTAATACTATTATATTTTGGTTTAAAATATGTTATTATTCTATTTTATTGAAATAAATAATGTAATTATAAGTTTTTTGTCATTATTCTAGGAATTTGTTTAGTACACTTTTGTTAATTTTATGGCATTAAAACAATACAATAGCGAAATATATCGCAGGAATACCATCCGGGGGTAGAAAGGGGGCGTAGTTGTAACAAGGGGCTATATACAAAGTCTTATGAAGAGATCCACGTGCGAGAGAGAATAAGTTAAGAGCCGTTGTCTAGTTCAGGGATCCTAACATTCTTGCATCTACTCGTATAAAAGAATATCTTTATCTATCCTCTTACATTTTCTGTCTAATATGCAACATACAACATAATCATAATACAAATAGTTGCGGGCCCACCAGCGGCCGAGCGGTAAAGTCGCTGAACACTGGTAGTTCGGTCCGAGGTTCGAATCCCGCGAACGGGCTGGCTGCATGGGTGTTTTCGTGGTTTTCCCCATGTGTAACGTGTATACGAGCCAGTTTTCCTTAGAACGTCCTCCACGAAAGCATCCCTCCCCTTAGGCAGATA